CTGACTGTGCAGCAGTAATTTGCTGAACGCCTATCGTGATAAGGACAGAAATAAGTTCATAATTTAATCCTCCCTTGTTATTTTTGACTGTACAGGAGGAAAAAATAAGGCAGGCATGGTTTAACCAAAGTATCTAAGTGAATATATAAAGAAGGTGTGCTGAGCAAATCTTGGGTGTTTTTACAACTGAGGTAATGAGATTTGTTTTGGTTTGGGTTGAATACTGTATTTCTTCTCTGTTGGAAAGCAGAGAGGCTGGATACTTTGTAGTGCAAAAGAAGGGGCAAATAGTAAATGTTTGACCACAGAAAATAAATAATGAAGTTTACCACATCTATGGCATACATGTAGATTTCCTCTCACAAAGTTGCTTTCTAGTTCTTTATCAAAAGATTTGAGAACCTTTTGTGGAAAGCACTATGTACTAACAGCCTTTGGCTTAGCCTTGCTGATCATCTTGGGTTTTGCAGATATATATGGCAGTTCTTAATTGCAAAGGTTTGGGAGGTGCTGTGAGGAGGGTATTGGTTGTTGCTCTCTCCTACTGCTGTTTTCTGCCCTGAAAACAGAGCTCATGGTTATCAGCAGAGGAAAGGCTCATTCTGGCTACTTTCACACCATTTTCAGACTTCCTTGGAGAGCCATAGAGACCTACACTGTCAATGCCTCACAGCCCAGTCTGGTAATTTTCCACACAGACGAGAAGGGGAGATGATATAAAAACAGAACCAAACTTTTCCTTTGCTTAGCCCTTTTCCTTGCGACTATTTTCTTGTGTCCTTATCAAAACTCTCTCTACTGCAATTTCATTCTTTCTCTGCTATGTTCTGTTGAGCAAGAGCACTAACATTGTAACTCGATGGTATGGTGGCATTGAAAGCCTGTATGAAAATGGAGTTTTGGGAAGACGTTGGGAGAACATAAAGGACTGGATCCTTGGCAACCTATCATGGAAAGCTGCACCCTTTCTTCAGAGAGTAGGATGACTTATTCCTGCCCTGTTTATTCCTCAGTATGGCAGCATGTGAGAGGAGAATATTGGGCAGCGACCCACGTGATGGTGCTCTTGGAGGGTAGATAGATGGTGATGCCAGTTAAGCGTTATGTGGCCCACGCTACAGTGTATAGCAGCATAGGGCTAATGATAATCTCTCAGGAAAGAAGAGTCAGCTCTTCAGAGCTGCTTCGTGGTTCTTCATTTTGGTGAAGGCTTTCCCCATGGCCGGCAGCATCCGTAGCCTTGCAGCTGCTCTTAATTTTGGTAGCCACAGGGCTCATTAAGCTTTTGTAGTGCAGTGCCAGGCACCATGCACAGCACGGGGCAACTGCTGCACATTCTGATCTGAAAAGGGACAGACTGGGAGTCAGAAGCAAAGGAAGAAAAGTGGCTTGCCTAAAATCATATAGCAGACTGAGCTCAGAGCAAAGCTTATTCTCCCAAGTTCCTGACCTGTAGATACTTCTTGTTCCTTTTATATTGTGGTGCTCTGATCCTTTGGCTTGACATGAGTTCTTTTCTCAAAGTCAGTGAAAGTACAGCAGTAACAGCTAACTTCCCATCCCCCCTGTTTTTGATCCAGGTTAAGTCATGTTTCCTGATGTTTCGAGGACAAACAGCACCAGAACTCCATGAACTGCAAAACCAGAGGAAGTGTGGCCGCTGTCCCCACCTCTGCTTTTCCTTCTCTACTGTGACGTTCTTCTTGGGACCTCTGATTTCATCCCCACTGAGCGTGCAGGGAAGGGCCTCAGGAAGAGAGCTGAGGAAGCAGTGTGCGGACCAGGGGGAGCCATGGCCCTCAGCTCTTACATCCTTCACTTCTTCTATAAGTTCAAAGTGTTGCTGCTTGTCACTTTGTGTTTGATGGTGCTTTGGGCCACACTCAGTTACATCATGGACTCTAGACAGGCCATTCCTAAAGCTAAGGGCATGGTGGAAAATTTCAGGAAGGTAATCAGCCTGGAGGAGGAAGAGGACAGTGAGAAGGAGAAGACCAAAGCAACTTTGAAGGCTCCCACAGTGCAGTCATCTCAGGGTCACTGCCCAGCTCTCTCTCCATACCTGCGTAAGTGAGACTGTTTTCCTCTTATTTTATCAAGCTACACCTGCTTAGTACTGCTGCCTTGGTTTTCTTCTGTCTGTTCACTCTGGCATTTTTGCTGAGAACCAAGTAACAGCAGCACCACTTGCAGGAAGTGCCTCTGGATGAGGCGCTGACTTGGAGCACGGAGGAAGAGTTCAGTGTGTGGAGCTGGGGCTGCGAGTGTGGCGCTGTAGAGGGTGTCCGGGTAGTGCAGGGTGTAGCTGTTGGCTGTGGGAGAACTTTGGAATACAGCTTGCAATGTCAGGAAGCTTGGCCACCTCTGCCGTTGCAAGCTGAGTGTGGTAGAAGCCCATTAATCATTATTCTGCATTGCTTGTGTTTATCTGTGTTGTCATCTTGTGTGTGCTCTGGGCGAACCCCCTATCCTACCACTTTGAGGATAAGATGAAATGGAGAGCATTCCTACTTGGATACTCCATTGGATATCTGGAGGAGAGGGTACAAGGACAATGGAAAGTCCAGCAGAAAAGCTGCAGCAACCTATGGCCTGCGTATTAAACTTTTCTCTGGGCTGCTCACTAGATATTTAAGAGAATGTGGAAGGTTAACTTCTCACAGCTGCTTAATTTGCAGAGCTGGAGTACAATTTATCACTTGAAACTGTGAACTCTACAAGGACAGCATAAAGAGAAATGGGCCTTATGCCTATTTACCGGTTTCACAGATTTCTTTACAGTATTCCCTTTCTCTTCTGCACAAGAGACTTCCCTTTTCATTATCAGATGTGCTTGCATCCTTTATCTCAGCAACTGAAGGTCTTTGCAGCTGCTTTGGAGGTAGTACTGCCGCTTGGATCATTGTATCATTGAACTGCTGTTGATTTAGGGTGAAAATTCAAATAGGTGACTTTGTTTTTTAGTTCTAGCTATTTTGTTAGACCACTGGTACAACGTTAGACGCCCTGTGCTAGCAGCAGCCGGCATCTGCCTTGCAGTACTGTGCTATCTTCTTCACCTTCTTCAGGAGCCCAGTTAGGCACTTGTTTGTGAAACTGGATTCCCCCTCTTCCCTGATGTAGCCCAGTAGATTGCTGTCTAGGTGCACCCTCCCTCACACCCCTTACAATGTATTTGTTTAAGGTAAAGCTGTGTACTGTTACGGTTGCTTGCCTTGTTCTCTTTTGTTTATTTATTGAATTTGGAGGGGCTAGAACAACAGATCGATGCAAAAGTGATGAAAATTTCATTTGGCAGAGAGCACCCAGGTATATTTTCTCTTACATGCTTCTAGTCTTAAGCCTGAGATACTTTTGTTTATGTTTTAAGCTGTGATGATTTCTTGTGGTCCCAGCCCTACATCTCTTTCCATTTTGCTGTCTTCCTTTTTGTCCTGCAGCCATCTCTGCCCAGTCCTCCTGCAGTAGGGTGGAACTTCTCTAGTTTTTTCTTGTCACTGCTCTGTGTTGGTTTAACCCCTCCTTCCACTATCTCTGTAATGTCATTGTAGCAATATTTTTCCTTCAAAAGCTCGAGAAACAAACTGTGGGCTTGAACCTGGGTTTCTTGTATTGCTCAAGCAGACACAAATCAGTAAAGTTTCCTGTGCTTCCTCTGCAGGAGGTGCCAGCAAACTCACCTTCAAAGCATCCCTCACACTGGAAGAAGTAGAGCAGGAGAACCCTCAGGTGGCCAGGGGCCGGTATCGCCCCAGGGAGTGCTCCGCACTGCAGCAGGTGGCCATCCTCATCCCGCACCGCAACCGAGAGCGGCACCTGCTCTACCTCCTGCAGCACCTCCACCCCTTCCTGCAGAGGCAGCAGCTGGACTACGGCATCTACGTGATCCACCAGGTGAGGCAGCTACACAGACACCCCACTGAGCAGGCTCACAAGATCTACAGGTTTCTCAGGGCTCGGATCTTTTAACCACTCACTTTTCCTGCACCATATATTTGCACAACTAAGCTGAACAACTGTGCCTTTAAATTCTGAGATGTTTGAATGAGAGGCCTCAGTTCTGCTCTCCCATCTGCTCGCTGGCTGCCGTGCTCAGTAAGCCACACGCATCTCATGCTTGTCCTTGTTGTCCCACGGTAAATATGCCACCTTCTGCCAGTAGGTACATCAATTGCCTGGCAAGAGTTGAGGGAAGAAGAGTCTTAGCATTTGGTTCCTGAAACATTTAATGACTTCACTTTTCATATTCTCTTTATCTGTGCTGATTCAGTAGCTCTAACCAGAGCATTCAGACCTTTGCCAGGTTCTTTTCCATCTCGGGTGGTGCCTAAGTTCTGGTCACGTGAGCTAAGGCAGCCTAGATTTCTCTCTTGTTTTTGATCTTTAACTGTATCAGTTTTCCTTTACTGTCATTTAATTACATGCTCTGCTTTGGCACTGGACATTTTCCAGAGAGCAGGACACAAATGAGGTGATAAGTTAGTGAAGTTTCTTCCTCTCTGTTTAGCTATCCTGGAGTCATTTAATGAGGAAACTGCAGCCTGTTCTAGAAGGTAGCTTACACTTTTGCTCTATGCCATGGCAGAACAATGACAAAAGTCATGGCAGGATTTACTTTCAGTTGGAATATCCCTGCTCCTACCTTGTTTATAGTCATCATGTGGACTACAGAGTAGGAAAATGGGGATGACACCGTCCCTCACAACATCCTCCTGGGCAAGCTCCGGAAGTGTGGGATAGATGAGTGCACAGTGAGATGGATTAGGAACTGGCTGGATGGCAGGGCCCAGAGAGTGGTGATCAGCGGTGCAGAGTCTAGTTGGAGGCCTGTGGCTAGTGGGGTCCCCCAGGGGTCAGTCCTTGGTCCAGTCCTGTTCAATTTATTCATCAATGACCTGGATGAAGGCACGGAGTGCTCCCTCAGCAAGTTTGCTGATGATACCAAACTGGGAGGAGTAGCCGATACCCCAGGTAATACAGATTATAAGAAATATCTCTACCCCTTATTTGATAAAAGTCCATTTATTAATATGAATCTGTCTTATCCTTGCTGAAAGTCCAAATAATAGGTGAGGAAAGAGGAACAGTGAAGGGACTAACAATTCTGATGCTGATCTTCAAAACCCGCTTGGATGCAGTCCTGCGCCACGTGCTTTAGGTGTCCCTGCGTTTGCAGGGGGGTTGGACTAGATGATCTCTAGAGGTCCCTTCCAACCCTAAGCATTCTATGATTCTATTCTATGATTCTATGATTTCTTTGGCGTTAGTGTATGCTGTAATTTTACATATTCTGGCTGAACTAACTAGCAAGCAGTGGTTAACAATAAACATTGGAAGAATGGATATTGTTTTGTTGTATTGAGATATGTGAGGTGGAGAAAGGCTGCCATTATGCTCACAAAATTTAATAAGGAATTCTGAAAGATTTGTCCACTCAGAGCAGCAGTGTGAGGTCTGGAGTTTTCCCCTTGGAAGGCTGGGAACTTTTCCTTAGCCTTTCACAGTGGATAGGCACACGTGTCCTCTGGAAGGAGCGCCCTTTCCCTTACTCAAATAGGAAACAATTGATTCTCCCTCATTTAATTTTTTCAGAATGAGCCCTGAGCTTCATTTCCCTGGCTGCAGGTATGATGAGCCATAAATCCTGTGCATCTTCTTTGTGCATGAGCAGGTGGCTATTAGTAGTGGTGAGCAAATTGCTTCTTTGAAGCAAAGCTACTTACCAGAGCAATAAAACATACTTAGTCTATGCCTGCTTGTCCCTAGAGCTAAGCACTCTCTCAGTGTGGGGAGGCCAGCTTCTTTTTATTCTACCATTGAGCCTCTTCCTGGCATTTGCTAGAAGGTCTCTAGACTCCTTTTTATTGAAAATTGTTTTTCATTCTTTTAAGTTCCCCAGGCTGCTAGCTGTGACAGAAGTGACCGTCGCTCAGCCTGCAGACAGGATTCTGGAAGCATAAAGCTTGTCCCTTTGGTTCCCGAGTGTGAACTGGACACAGCTTTCCAGCTTGTCCCAGGAGCAGAGACTGTTCTGCTGGCTCATGTGTGTGTTCAACCCAGTTTAAAATAAATAGATAAGGCCTCATATTGCTTCAGAATGAATTGGGTCATTGCAAGCTTACAACACTAACAGCTTATATGCATTTATATATAAATAAATATATTTATATAAAAATTGAAAATAAAATTTTGGTGAAAAGATTATAGTTGTAAAAAAGTGAAGGTACACTAAATTATAGTAAAAGCAAACAACCCCAAATGGGTAAAAGTAAAGTGAAGCTCTGTGCTAGGTGGAGCCCCTGTGCAGCTTCATAGCCACGGTGTAGGTAGGGGTTAACCAAAACATGAAGAGGCTGAATGTTTTAGTCCCAGCTCTGCCACCTACTGTGTGGCCTGAGGAAATGCTCTTGAACTCCCTTGTGCCTGCGCTCCACCTTGCACACAGCAGCACTCCGTCACCTGCGTCCAGTGCTCCCAGGTTTATAAACCCATCACCGGAGCAGTGCTGCTGGGTTTTTTGAGGCTTCCATCAGCTGTACAATTGCACTTGTACAGACTGCTGGGTCTGAGGCTGCCTCCTGTGACTTCCTCTTCCATCGCCCAGTGGAAATTCCAGGGCCGGAGCGGGGATAGCAGCGGAGCTGTGTCATGCAGCAGGCATGCTCCTTGTGGCCGGGTAGCCCTAGCCCTTTCTGACCCCGACTGCCTTTATTCAGCCCAAGTAGACTAAAAGCAGCACGTCAAATCCTTGGCTGCTTTGGTGCTCAACATCGTGTCACGGTGTAGCATTCTGTGTAGATGCTGCTGTAAAGGCAGTTGAAGCCCAAGTGCAGTTATGAACTATGTGATCAGAATAAAAGCCTGGGGGCCGTTCTGGTTAGAAACATTTGACCAGTATGTTTTAGAGATTTTTGCCTTCTTTTCCGCAGGCTGGAAGCACAAAGTTTAATCGAGCTAAGCTGTTGAATGTGGGATACCTAGAAGCCCTGAAAGAGGAGAACTGGGACTGCTTCATTTTCCATGATGTCGATCTGGTGCCAGAGAATGACTTTAATATTTACATGTGTGACAGGCAACCGAAGCACCTTGTAGTTGGCAGGAACAATACTGGCTACAGGTAGGAAATCAAAACTGTGGAGCGAATACCAGCTGGAAAATGCCATATTACTGATAATGTTCCTCTTCTAATGGAGCCGTTCGTTAGTGTTACTAGTCATCTGTGCAGTGGTTGGCATCACTGCTCCCATTTCTGGGGTGCTGTAAAGGAGGTTCTGCGTGGAAAGCAACGCACCAGAGGCTGACATACAGAAATACTTGCAGTCTCTTGCTCCTGGGATTTAACAGTATGAACTACTAGAAATTGACTTTTCAAAAGCACTTCAAACTCTGCTTCATCTCTGGGTTTTCTTTATTCAATATATGAGAAAGAGATTGGGTGTGCAAGTTCTTATATCGAATAATATTTACCAGGTATTTAGAAAAAAGTGGAACAACCTGAAATGAGCTAGGCTCGTGACAGATTTTTGGAGTAGTGTGCATTGCAAAGAGAATGCTGAGGACTGCAGGATGGACAACACACCAAAGCAACACAAGTACTGCTTTGGTTATTGGACAGAACTATAGACTCCTGACTAGTGAAACACCTGAAGGTTTTTTACTTCTTATGCCTTGGTTACTACTTGGGTTTTGATTAGCTAAGCACGCAGATGATTTTTGCTTTTACTAAAGGGTCAGGGTCACCTTTCAATTAATTTCCTATCAACTATCTTTGGAAGGTCATGCTGACTGGGGCTGGTTCCTGTGAAGGGCCACAGAGATGATCAAGAGGCTGAAGCATCTCACATATGAGAAGAATTTTAGAGACCTCAAGAAGAGAAGGCTTAGGGGACATGGCGCTTGAACAACCTGTTGCAGTTGACCCTGTCCTGAGTGGGGAGGGTGAGGCAGGTGATCTCCAGAGGTTGATTCTCCTGTGATTCTATGACAGGAGCAAAAAGCAGCCTCAAGGAAAAAAATGTGTGCAGAGGGGATGGGAGGGTGAGTGTGACTAATTTCTTCCCTGGAATTGCTCCAAGAAATGAGTAACAAGCATTTTCACTTATCAGACATGTTAATTGCAGTAATGTGTACTTTGTAGCTTTGCTAGTTTGTTCATCTGTTTACATTCATATACGTCCACATAAAATAAAAATGGTCTACAGGCATTTGCACACCATGCTTTAATGTGGCGGTAACAATGTAATAGAGGCAGCGTTATAATGGTTGCCTTAAGGGCCACGCAAGTAGAGGGTGTCATAAAAAGCAGTTAGCAGGGCAGCAGAAGAGGGTAAGTAAACATGGTATGCCCTATTTTTTTTTTTTTAAGTGGATGAAATTTTCAGGACAAGGAAGTTAGAGATTAGAAAGATATCTCCTCTTACACTACACTTTACCTTGGAATTTGTCTTATAATATTGCTCAATTCAGTTCTACTGAGAACTGCTTGCACATTTCCCATAGTTGTTCATCTTAAATTTCTGAAATTTAGCTGTATGATCACTATGACAAAGGAGCCAGCTCTTTGTGCTTCTTTTATATTATTGCATAGCTTTGTTGCTTTCCTTCTCATTCAGAGTCCTGAAGGTAAAGAGCTTTTTTGAGTGGCAAGGAGAGTCATGGGTAAAAGAAAAAAAAGATCTATTCAAGTAAAACTGTGCCACTCTCTCTATGCCAGTTGCTTCTGCCCTAAAGCAACACTGTATTTTTGGCAAAAAAAAAAAAAAAATCTCTGCCATTAGTAGAGCAAGGCTTCTAATTCTTCATTCTCTCTTCTTCTGCACTTTCAGGTTACGTTACCAGGGATATTTTGGAGGTGTAACTGCTCTGACGAGAGAACAGTTTTCCAAGGTGAATGGATTCTCTAACAACTACTGGGGTTGGGGTGGAGAAGATGATGACCTTCGAATCAGGTAAAAAGAAGGCTGGGGGGAAATGGGTATGGGAGGGTCAGGAACAAACAAAAAAACAACCAACCAAAAAAAGCAACAAACTTGTGTGAATTCACACAGTGCAGGAGTCTTCAACATCAGCCTTATTGCAATGGGGACTCAAGAGTGTGAGATGCAATTCTGTGAACAGGTTCCTCTTTGATAAGATTAGGCACGTCTGAAGCCTGGTTGCTCTGTTGAGACTGGGTTTTGGGGCGGCCATGGAGTGTTTGTTGCTATTTTTTGAGGGAGAGGGAGGAGGAAACAGGCTTAAAGCATTCTTGGTTTGGGAATAGGTTATAACCAAAACAGTAGGATTGAATATAGAGTAGTTTTTTGGTTTGTTTTTGCAAGAAATGCAAATGAATGGAGCTTTAATACTTTGCAAGAGAATGGCAGCATTTGGTTTGGGGGAGGGGAGAGGGGTTTGCATTCATTGACTGTAATGATTTCCTTTGAATATGGTTTAGGTTTTTCTGTTGGTGTTAAGATAGTCAGTAACTTGCATTTTATATAGACTGCATGTATTTGCCATATGCCCATTGTTGCTGTGGTTAAATCTAGCTTTACAGACCTGGCTGTTGACGCAGTAGCAAACAGTTTAGTTAGTTTAGCAGGCAAATAAACCAGCAGATCATATTTAGTATGTCAGTCAGTCAGCATGCATGTTGATGACCAATCAAAGCTCCATGCTTATCCTGTTCAGTTGCTTAAATATGCAAGCAAACGTTTCAGGGACATTAAACACACACCCTTGGTGTTGTTCAATAATTACATTGGTGAAATGAAGCAGGTTAAAGTTAAGAATTTCCGAATGAAAGTTTTCCCCATGTCAGTCCAGCATGACTGATGTGTGTAGGTTGTGCTTCAAGAAAAATAAATTAAAAGGTTTAGTGGTAACACAGATTTTGGTCCCATTACTTTTTTCTTTCTTTCTTTTCTTCCTTTTTTTTTTTAAACTGTGGGCTGCACATACCAAGTTCTCTGTGAGAACATCTTGAGAGTTACCATTTTTAGTGGCAAGGGATGGCTTGGTCAAATCTTATTCCTCGGCTTCCTGAAAATGTCCCAGTTCATGAGCAAAGGTGATGCTGTAAACGTTTGTGAGAGGCAGCACCAGCTGTGCAGCACATCAGCAGGGTTTACTGATGGTATCTAGGTGTCTAGGGTGTTTCTAAAGTGCTGGGAGTCGACTGATGCTGGCTCGCGCGTGGCACTCGGGAACTTCCCTTCCTCTCTTCCTCTCTTCCTCTCTTCCTCTCTTCCTCTCTTCCTCTCTTCCTCTCTTCCTCTCTTCCTCTCTTCCTCTCTTCCTCTCTTCCTCTCTTCCTCTCTTCCTCTCTTCCTCTCTTCCTCTCTTCCTCTCTTCCTCTCTTCCTCTCTTCCTCTCTTCCTCTCTTCCTCTCTTCCTCTCTTCCTCTCTTCCTCTCTTCCTCTCTTCCTCTCTTCCTCTCTTCCTCTCTTCCTCTCTTCCTCTCTTCCTCTCTTCCTCTCTTCCTCTCTTCCTCTCTTCCTCTCTTCCTCTCTTCCTCTCTTCCTCTCTTCCTCTCTTCCTCTCTTCCTCTCTTCCTCTCTTCCTCTCTTCCTCTCTTCCTCTCTTCCTCTCTTCCTCTCTTCCTCTCTTCCTCTCTTCCTCTCTTCCTCTCTTCCTCTCTTCCTCTCTTCCTCTCTTCCTCTCTTCCTCTCTTCCTCTCTTCCTCTCTTCCTCTCTTCCTCTCTTCCTCTCTTCCTCTCTTCCTCTCTTCCTCTCTTCCTCTCTTCCTCTCTTCCTCTCTTCCTCTCTTCCTCTCTTCCTCTCTTCCTCTCTTCCTCTCTTCCTCTCTTCCTCTCTTCCTCTCTTCCTCTCTTCCTCTCTTCCTCTCTTCCTCTCTTCCTCTCTTCCTCTCTTCCTCTCTTCCTCTCTTCCTCTCTTCCTCTCTTCCTCTCTTCCTCTCTTCCTCTCTTCCTCTCTTCCTCTCTTCCTCTCTTCCTCTCTTCCTCTCTTCCTCTCTTCCTCTCTTCCTCTCTTCCTCTCTTCCTCTCTTCCTCTCTTCCTCTCTTCCTCTCTTCCTCTCTTCCTCTCTTCCTCTCTTCCTCTCTTCCTCTCTTCCTCTCTTCCTCTCTTCCTCTCTTCCTCTCTTCCTCTCTTCCTCTCTTCCTCTCTTCCTCTCTTCCTCTCTTCCTCTCTTCCTCTCTTCCTCTCTTCCTCTCTTCCTCTCTTCCTCTCTTCCTCTCTTCCTCTCTTCCTCTCTTCCTCTCTTCCTCTCTTCCTCTCTTCCTCTCTTCCTCTCTTCCTCTCTTCCTCTCTTCCTCTCTTCCTCTCTTCCTCTCTTCCTCTCTTCCTCTCTTCCTCTCTTCCTCTCTTCCTCTCTTCCTCTCTTCCTCTCTTCCTCTCTTCCTCTCTTCCTCTCTTCCTCTCTTCCTCTCTTCCTCTCTTCCTCTCTTCCTCTCTTCCTCTCTTCCTCTCTTCCTCTCTTCCTCTCTTCCTCTCTTCCTCTCTTCCTCTCTTCCTCTCTTCCTCTCTTCCTCTCTTCCTCTCTTCCTCTCTTCCTCTCTTCCTCTCTTCCTCTCTTCCTCTCTTCCTCTCTTCCTCTCTTCCTCTCTTCCTCTCTTCCTCTCTTCCTCTCTTCCTCTCTTCCTCTCTTCCTCTCTTCCTCTCTTCCTCTCTTCCTCTCTTCCTCTCTTCCTCTCTTCCTCTCTTCCTCTCTTCCTCTCTTCCTCTCTTCCTCTCTTCCTCTCTTCCTCTCTTCCTCTCTTCCTCTCTTCCTCTCTTCCTCTCTTCCTCTCTTCCTCTCTTCCTCTCTTCCTCTCTTCCTCTCTTCCTCTCTTCCTCTCTTCCTCTCTTCCTCTCTTCCTCTCTTCCTCTCTTCCTCTCTTCCTCTCTTCCTCTCTTCCTCTCTTCCTCTCTTCCTTTTCTTTTTTTTCTTTTTCTTCCTCTCTTCCTCTCTTCCTCTCTTCCTCTCTTCCTCTCTTCCTCTCTTCCTCTCTTCCTCTCTTCCTCTCTTCCTCTCTTCCTCTCTTCCTCTCTTCCTCTCCTTTTTTTTTAAACTGTGGGCTGCATATACCAAGTTCTCTGTGAGAACATCTTGAGAGTTACCATTTTTAGTGGCAAGGGATGGCTTGGTCAAATCTTATTCCTCGGCTTCCTGAAAATGTCCCAGTTCACGAGCAAAGGTGATGCTGTAAATGTTTGTGAGAGGCAGCACCAGCTGTGCAGCACATCAGCAGGGTTTACTGATGGTATCTAGGTGTCTAGGGTGTTTCTAAAGTGCTGGGAGTCGACTGATGCTGGCTCGCGCGTGGCACTCGGGAACTTCCCGGCTAGTGTGGTCTTGTGTGCGGAACAGGGTGCGCAGCCACCCAACCACGCGAGCCAGAGAGCACACACTGCACTGCACTTGCCTTATGTCTCTGTCTCCAGGTAGATCTTGGGCTGGGCTGTTTGCAGCTATGCCAGGGCAAAGGGTTATTGTAAGGAGAGCTTCTTGCAGCTTTTCTCTGCAAAGGCAGCAGAGGGCGGCATCCCCTTCGTTATCTGCTAGAAATCAGGGCTAGTGTTGCCTCGGTGCCGCTGTTTTTGGGGCCCCTTCCTAAAATGCGAGGCACAAAGAGAATTTCAGAGGGTTTGTTGCCTCCATTTGATAAATTATTGATATTTGAAGTCATGGAAAATATGTGGGAGCTCATTGCCTCTGACTTTTGGTTTCTGATTGCTCTTTAGGTGCTTTTTTAACTAGCAGAGGCTCAGAGGATTCTTTGATTCTGTTATCATGTTATTAACAGCTAACAGCAAAATTGCTGTGTTCCATGGATAAAATCAAAGTTCCAAGGAAGTGCCTGATATTAGGCATTTTAATCCATGCAGGCGACTTAGTGTTTCTGGCAGTGTAACCACAGATTTTTATTCATGTGAACAAAGGTTAAAAATTACACAAGTGTCTGCAGATCATTAGAAAGAAATGGGCTTGGGTCTTTTGCGGTGGAGAGCTACCCATTGTCGGGGCATGACTGCAGGCGTTGAGGCAAATGTCTTGCAGAATGTGTGAAATCCTGCTCAGCCCGCCTAGGATAATACTGGGCAACAAGAGCTACAGCAGGCAGTGCTAATTCTCTTGGGTAGCACGTGCTCTTGGATATCCCTACTGTAATAATTGCCTGCTTCTGCACAGAAGAAAATGGTTTCTGTCATTCTACAGACCTGCTCTCAACAAACACAAGTCTTTGAACTCTATTCCTGTGGCATGGGTGAGGTAAAGATAGGGTTCTTATGGTTCTTTTTGTTTTTGCTTCCACAGCTTCTGTAAGACCCACCATCTCCAACTTTTTTTTTTTTTTTTCCCCTCCCTAACATGTTGCTTACATGTCCCATCCTGCTCACTGCACTATTGCTTCTTTCAGGGTTGAGATGCAGAAGATGCGCGTGATGAGGCCGTCCCCTGACGTAGCCCGGTACACAATGATCTTTCACACTCGAGACCAGGGCAATGAAGAAAATGGAGAGAGGTGAGTTGGGAATGGAGTTCCACCTTGCTTTGGCTTGGTAGAGGGCCAAGGGCCAGGGAATTGGTAGCCCAGTCTTCCGCTGTCGGCCGAAGGGGCATTCTGTGGTACTAGAGTCTCTGGGGAACACAGCTGTAACACCACTCCTCAAAACTGCCAGCTGGGCTCTATGCGTGACACCTGCCTGCAGCTGCCTGGGTAGTGTTCCTTAAAAGCTTTCACCATCATAGTCACACAGATGTGATTTGAGCATGTGATTCCAGACAGCAAATGATTTTAAGAAAAACCCCAAGCCCCACAAAAGCCAAGACCTATTCTCACATGTCTGCCTGAGACTGCATGATCATGTCAGAAAGAGCAGGTACCTTGATGTTCCTAGCAGACCCACTATGGCTGTTGCTTCACCTGCACGTTTACTAGTAATGGGGAAGAGCTCAGCCCTCCTCTTGCATGTGTGTTAATGCTGTACACTTACAAAGATTATTTCTTCTCTGTTCTCAGGATGAAGCTTTTACGCCAGGTGTCTAGAATGTGGAAAACAGATGGGCTGAATTCTTGCTCATATAAGTTGCTGTCGGTGGAACACAACCCGTTATACATCAACATCACAGTGGATTTCAGCACACAGCCTAAGACCTCGTAAGGGTGCGCACGACCCAGGCTCTAGGAGATGGGGACAGACCTGCTGTTTGTGGTAGCTGGCACAGCAGCTGAATCCCAGCAGTCTACTTGAACCAGTACTTCAGTAGCACAGAGGAAAATTTTTCTTCACGGCACCTAATTGATTGGTTCAGAATTTCCTTTTGTGAGGACTGGAGATATGGACTGGCCTTAGGGACAGTGCCTGGTGTTCTTCTATGCACTTTCTGCTGGGACACATATAAAAGCTTCTTTGTTTTGGCTGGTCCGGTGGAAGGACTTGAATTGTGCCCCCTGAAACATTTTTGCTCTCACAACTGAACTGTTTGGTGTAGTGGAGAGGCAACCTACACTGCCCCTTGACTTCAAAAGGAGCAGGCCACTCTTTTTTTCATTTGAAGCACAAGAATACTTCAGCATCTACAACTGCTGAGAAAACCTGATTTTTTTCCAGCCTAGGGAAAAGCTGCTTATGTGTGAAAGACAATAATGGTAACAGTTGAGGGGATGTTAAAAACCTCTCAATAAAATAAAACCCATTTAATTCAAAAGGCCTCTCTTGTACTTCATAAGCTCAACTCACCATGCAGTGGGAGTGCACAAGTGTCCTGCAGCAAAATGAAAGACCACTTAATTCTGCAATAGGCTATAGGCTGTGATGTTCTGGACACATCTCTAAGAAAATGCACGGGCTAGCTCTGGGAGAGGGAAAGAAGCTGCTTTTTATTATTTTTATTTAACGCTAATGTGAGATTAGAGCAAGGTCCTGCAGTTAGGTGAGTGCCTGTCAGGGTCCCATCTGATGTGACTTAGTCTCTGGTACTGCGTTTCTCAGAAGTGGTTATGTTGAAGACAGTTCAAGCTTGACAAATTAACAGAGCTGATTGTTTGATCAACAGCTGATATACTAGATTTTATTTTCTTGAACTGAGCAGACTGGATTAGGTAATGAACCTCAGGTCCCTTCCAGCCTGAATTGTTCTATAACTGCAGTAAAAATATGTAACTATTGAGGAACTTGGCCAGATGCAGAAGTAAGGATATGACCTCTGTTTTTTTGAGTTCAGGGCAACTTTCTCCTTCATTAGACTCTGAAGCATTCTATAAAATCTCAAACACAACAGCTTTCTCAATTTATTTTACTCAAAGTTGCAGAAGATATTTACAGAAATATAACAGGTTTCAATACTATAACACTGTCTGTGAGTTCTTTTTCAAAATACAACATTTCAGAATAGGTGTGTTCCCCAGCAGAACAGGAGTGTCTGACACGGCTTGCATCCCATTTACCTTTTAAATAGGCAGCAGGATAGAGCAATCCTGCTATGGAACACAGGGTACTAGAAAACTTAAGTCACCTTCCTATCAAGATCTTAATCCTCAGGGCCTGAGGTGCATCCAACTCAGGAGGGATTGTTTTTTACAGCTCTCTGACAGAGTCTTTATACAGCAAGCCCTATCCTATTCATTAGTTATCGTGCCTTTTTCCAAAGTCTTTTCTTCTAAGTCTTGTACACTCTGAAGAGAAGTGAAATACAGGAGACAGGAGGACTAGTCTCATGCGGAGCATGCGCTGTAGCACAGAAGGTAGAGGCCTGTGTGCTGCCACAGTAAGCTCAAACTCCCAATTTTCTTTTCACTTCCTTAAGAAAATGGGGGAACGTAGCCAATGTCCACAGTGATGTTGGTGTAAAGAGGGTGTTGCTTCCTGGATAGGAGCTTGAACTGTAATGAGTTCATTCCATCATCCTTCCATGTTTTCCTAGTGTTATGCCGAGAAGCAGGCCTGAAGAAGGAACAACGTGCAGTTAGGAAATGGTTGCAGCTGATGCTTTAATAGAGGTGGGGGAAGAAATGGTGTTTCAAATGGCAAGAGCTTAGCAGATGAATGAAAGCTGGTAACAGAAAAAGCCCAAGAAGATTCTTCTCATGTAATACAGATTAGAGAAGGTATTTTTCTGAGTGAAACCAGACTAACTTCACGCTAAGCCTTATAAATAAGAAGCACGGTTTGGACTGGAACACGGGAGATGAAGGAGGTGGCAATTATATTCTGCAAAAATAAGTAACTGCCCCCAGCTTAGCAAGACCTTGGCCTTACACGAAAGAGGTTTACACTACTGGCATATAGAGGCTGCTGGAGGAGGTTTAGTATAGGACTGTCATGGAAACCTCGGTGTTAAGACCGTGAGAGGGAAGCCTAATGTGCCAATATGAAAAGCCTCCAGCATGCTTTAACCAGCATCCTCCTCCAGCTCTTTTATGTAAACTAGGTCATTTTAAAGGTCTCACCTTACTCATTTCTTCAAGCTAGAGTGAGGCTTTCCACTATTTTAAGAGGAGTCATGGTGTATCTGCAGTGATTTTAATACAGTGCAAGTCTTGGACAGAAAAGTATTCTGCAGTTTCTATATAGTAAAAAATACTTTTCAGGATAGACATAACAAGAGGATCTTCAAACTCAATTCTCCTTATTTAAAAGGCAAACTAAAGTGGCATTTTAAAAAATGAATGCTCAAGTTTTATACTTACCAACAGCTGTCTCTCAAAACTACACCTTCATACTAAGTAGGATGGAAGTTAATGCATCCCCTCTTCAAAAGCAGAGATGTGAGCAGTTGCAACAGACTGGGAATCTGTATTAGCTTCTAATATTGGGTGTGTGTTGGGAGGAGACTGAAGTCTTGCAAAAGACGTAAGTGCTACCAGATGCAGTAATCCAAAATATCAGAAGATGAAAAAATGCTTTTAAAATGCAGCATCCTCAAATCCATCAGCAAAAACAGGGAGCTTGCTTTATATAGCAGCCTTAAAATAAACAGTGGCATTCGGGATACTTTCTGCCTTGTTTGAGGAAGATGATGCTTACAGTAACATGGCACTGAGCGGCTATCTAAGGTGTCCCAGAACAGTTACCTTCTCCAAGGTTCTTGGATCTCTGTCTCTTGCCTGTAGTCCATCACTTTGTAGCGTCCAAGATGAGATGGTGTCCGGACTATTTTCATTCCTGCCAACTGGATCCTTTAAAGCAAAGAATAAACTGCCTGTGAATAATGATGTCACCTCTAGGCTTAGCTTATAGCCTCTGGCAGGAATGCTAAGATAGTTTTGCTGTTTCCATTTTTATATTGCAAGATTAAACTAATAACCCAATATGAAACAGTTAATTCACTTACTGTTTTAAAAAGAACCTGTTTCTATAGTTGATGTTAACCCATGAAGTGAAACCACTTAAGTAGTGTTTTCTTCTAAGAAGAGGCGGATGCTGGTGCTTACTAAGACAAATATTTAACTTTAACAACTAATATAGTAGAGTACTGCAGTATGTGCCAATTATAAATAGCAGCCACTATTTCTTGATGGGCTAATTTTGCTTTAAAAAGCAGCATTCCAACATGAACTCTTCACATAAAACAGGTTTCAATGTCCAATTTCAGATGCTAATTTATTTTTGTTGATCTTTGATAGGAAATGTTTGATCACATTCTAATATTCAGATCCCAGGAGCTGTTTCATGGTGGCCATTCAAAAACAGCCAGCTCAGTTCCTGACTTTGGAAAGTTGAATAAATCATTAACAGTCACTGCCCCTGACCTGTAGGTACCTATGAGCCATAGAACTGCTAATCCTTGGCATAAGTTTTCACAGAACAACACAAGACTCGCCTACCTTCAGGAAAGGACTAGTTTGTGCTCTATATAACCCATTTACCTTAAGTGATATCTGTAAGGAAGTGCACTCTTACATATAATTTGTATGTCTCTTCACCACTGGTACTTGAAAGCCACACTAAACGCCTAAGCTGTACTGAGAGAAGAGCTGAATAGACTCAGCACTGTAGTGTTTGATTTAAAGATCTGTTTTCCTGGCATTCCATTCCTCAGTAAATGCTGACTTGCTAAAAAAAATGTATACTCTTTTAGTTAGCTTTCTTTGAAAGGAAAAGGAGGAATTACATCGTAGAAAACCTGACTTTCGATTCCCCAAAGAATACTGCTTTGTACAAACTCCCACAGTCCTTGAACAGAACATTCCACTGAGATTGTGTAACTTGTCACACTGTGCAAGACGAAAAGGAAAAAAAAAAGAGCGTTTATTGTCAATTTATAAAGTCCCCACGAGCATGCCTTGGTACATGATGATAAAGGTACGCTCTAGATGAGATGCTGCAATGGACCTGGATAAAGATGCAGCCATGATTTTGTACTCAAATTCTGCATTATGTAGAGTACCTGGAAGTAAAGTCATCAAATTCACTTCTATAGCATGCTGCTGCCATAGCAACAAAGGTAAAGAAGTTTTTTTTTTTTTTTTTTTTTGCTGTCACTAACTTGTAATACACAGACCTCCAAGTTATCTAATGCTGAAGATGAAATTAAGGAACCTAAGAAATTACAAGTACTACTGACTAGATAGTATTTACAGCACTGTGTATACACAGTGTAGCTTAAATTCCCAATGGTTTGGGAATTAAGAAGTACTCATTTTACTACCTTGGTTTTCTCATTTGTCAAGCTTGTCATCCCTTTCTTTGGGGGCTCTTGACGTCAATGAGGTTACTTTTCAATCAGTGGTTATAACCCCTTGGAAACTCCCCAGAGCAACTGAAGGCACAAGGTTGTGGATTAACATTCTCTGCTACTCAGGCTCTGAAGGAAGTTTTCTCTTCCCAGTGTACAGTGATTAGATTCATGCTGCCTAAGCGTTCTCTGACCTCAATCAATCTAAATGGCACCTGAATTACAATGCTAGTGCAAGCGTGTTACAGAACCAAGTCCCGTAGTTCCTTCTTTGGGCAATGCTACATGTTTCACTAGCTACCTTGCTTGTGTTATAAGATTTTATGTCCTGTGCATCAGTACCTTGTAGCAATGTCGTCATTTTCAGCATCATCGCCCCAGTATGTATTTGGAAAGCCATTCATCTTCATATAATGCTCTGGAGTCAAAGCAGATACACCCCCAAAAAAGGACTTATATGGCAGACTAAAGGAGGGAGAAAAAAAAAAAAACAGAAAGCATCAAGTCTGAGGGCTACTACCAATCCTTCACAAACTACTTAAGATCATCATTCAAATTACATGCATATTAATCTTGTCTTACAGACCTTTTTTTTTTTTAAAAAAAAAAAAGTAGATGCGAAGTGGCAAGTTACAGAGCCACAGAATGGTTGAGGGTGGAAGGGACCTCCAGAGATCATCTAGTCCAAACTCCCCTGCAAGTTATACCAAGTCTGAAAAAAAGTACTCAAAAGAAAGCTGTAAACCCTGATTTAAGATATTTCTGTTGTAATGCTAAAACCCAAAATATCAAATTCAGTATAAAGCTGGTTTTAAAATTACAACTGATTAGTTCCAGATACCTGTATCATATCACCCATATTCTGTGTGGTCCGATAATTCTAATCCTATACTTTTATTTTAGGAGGAAAAGCAAACAGAAAAGTGTGCCAGCATGTACCAGGCTAGTGATAGGATCATTTGCCAGCCTGAGCTAACAGAATAAGGAACTTCAGGCAACTGTTCAAGATTGCAAGCTTAGGCTAAGAATATCTTTTTCTGGTGAAATCATTAGTACAAAATTAAACAATTTTGGAACTTATGTTTTTCCATTGTGCCTGTTCATACTGTCCTCATCCTGAAAGCGAACAGTTAGAACATATACATGCCAAACAAATGGCAGGCACTTACTTGTACTGAAACTTGTCCATGGCACTAGCCATATGCTTGGGATAGTATTCATCACAAACATATAGATTATAATCATTTTCAGGTATTAGGTCCACATCATGTAGGAGAAGGCAGTCCCAATCTTCATCCTTCATGGCTTCCCGGACCCCAACATTAAGCAGCTTTGCTCGGTTAAATGTACCATTCCCAACCTGGAAAGGAAAATTGCATTTTGTAAGGACACTAAGTCCATTAAAATTGATGTTGGTGCAAAAACCTTAATTCACTTGAGTGACACTGGTGTGGCTCAGCTTTGGCTGCAAATCTCATGTCACAGACAAAATATTTTAACCATTCTCTTCGCAATATTCTCATTCATCATCACAAGCTTTGCTGCATCAGGGGTTATATCCCACAAGCTCACAAAGGCAAGCAACTTTTAAGCCGGCAGTAAGTCAATTCTCAGGTCTAAATCTGCACATCAACACTTTTGCCCTTACTGCTGATTATTAAAGCTGGGAACTGGGCAAACATTTGATGATGAAAAGCTTCTTCTCCTTCCTAGTCTGCTATCAGATTTCTTAAATGAGCCCCAAGCTTCTCCATCTCTGTCAGGAAGTAATAGGTGCTTGAGCTACATAGGTCGTCCCATAGCAAGTCAGATGTTTTTATCTGCTACTGAGCACGAAAGAAAGATCTCCAACTTCCATCTCAGCATTTACTCTCAACAGTTTATCCAGCAGCTATACTGACAGTCTGCAGCCAAACCACATTTCAATCCTCCCAACAGCTGAAAAGTTACTATTAAAGATAGTTCCATCCTTTTAGCAGAGAAAAAACAGATCAATAGCAGTGCTGACTATGTTAGTAAATGCTAAGATACTCCAATCATAGCTCTGGAGATAGGACAGGATGCAACTGATGTGCCCTCAAACTACACCTATGGTCTTACTTCCTCAGAACATTTCCATTTCTCATTCATACTCTGAGCCCATAAGTAGAAAGCTCAGTTGCATCACCAGACACATCCAACTTAGATTTACCTGCTGAATCAAGTAGATGCTGTAACTCAGCTGCTGGCGCTGCAGGAAAGGATGAAGATAGTAAAGGAAGTGGCGGAGGTATCTCTCCTGGCTCCTGTATGCTACAAGGATGGCTGATTTGTAGCGGGCCAAGCAGTGAGGGGGTCTATAACAGCCACCAGAGTGGACAAGCGGATTTTTTTGAACGATCATTCTCTCACTTGGGAGCACCCTGAACGTGATGGTTAATGGACCAACTGCAAGAACAGAGACAAAAACAAAACAGAAACACACACAAATAGAAATAAGGTCACTGATGTTTCTCAACTGTCATGCAAGCCAGTCAGTTGCAGGCATACGTTTTCTGAAAACACCTGCTCTACTCCTAGCACAAGGCTATCAGTAAGGTGATTCAGCCAGCCCACAATGAATGTAATTGCTACTTCTCAGGCACCTCAGCATGGCTCCATACAGCACCACGCCGGCCAGAGAGATGCCAGGAATCCCATCACAGCCAGCAAAACTCTCTGCGTTCTTGCACAGCTTTCTTCTTCCATGTACTCTGCACATGCTGTCCAAGCAAACTGTGTTGCTTAGATGGTATCCTTAAAAAAAAAGTATTTACTGTAAGACTACAGCTGAAAATGGATCCATATGAAAAAAAGCCTTTATCTAAGCTGCTTTTTCAGGTGAGCTCCAAGGACAAAAATATCCAAAAGAATTTTCAGCAAACTTCGCAAAAAATAGTTTAAAGCCTCAATGAATACAAATGCTTTGGGAAGTGTTAGCTTATGTAAACCTTGTTTTTTTTAAGAAAAGCTTAAAGTTAAATTTGAAGTTATGGTAGGCTGCCGTATAGGCTGTATTCACTATATTATTTAGTTATATATACACCATATAATTTAGTTACTAGTTATAAAGCCTCACTTTTTAACAATATGAATAAACACACCAAGTTCTACAATTGCTTAAATGCCTATATAGTCTATCCTTCTGGCTAGGGAGAAGAGGTTCCAAAATTAGCAGAAGAGTCGTATAAATGCAAATCATTGTGTTTTAATGATTTCCAACCACTGCCAGACAACCTCTTTAAGAATATAAAGTACAAATGCAGAACAAGATTAAAATCTATTACTTCAAAGAATTAGCAAGAAACCTTCGCTTAAATCACAATTAAAAGCTGGCGATTTAAAAATAAAGCTTTACGTAGCTCCAACCGCTCTCTGCAGGCTATGCTACCCAAAGACAAAGTATTTTGCATCAAAAAAACTGCACAGGAAGATTTTTTTTTTTAATTATAGTTGAGTTTTTCTTTTCCTTTTAAGCTCATAGTCAATGCTGCAGCCATTTGGAGGTGAGCTTTCAATAGTCAAAAAAAAAATCAGATTCCCACTTAAACCACTGAATAAACTATTCTGTCAGAAACGCAAGATAATGAAGCTTATGAGAGACACAGGAAGCATTTAGGGAATATGCTAGTGGTATCTAGTGAAAGTATTTATGTTTAAATACAGGGCAAAGTACGTGTGAGTCTTACTTCTACTACATATTTAAGCAAGTGTATCCAGAAGATAATTCTTCAAGTTCATCCTACACTCAAATCTCTGCTACAGTTCCAGCACATAAAACACTGAGCCTGTACTCACCCTCATTCTGTTTAACAGACTCAAAAGGGAGCAACATCCCTTCACACTGCCTTTTGTGGTTTTGGTGAGATGACAAGGCTGAGGGACCTAGCTTTGCAATAACACTCAGGCTGTCTATTCAGATCTGGGAAACATTTTGCCTCTATGTACTACATGCAGAAGCTCAAATCCCTGATAGGCAAAGCTATTATCGGCGACAGCCTCCTTTTCCACCTCAAAAAAAAAAAAAAAAAAGCACAACTGCACATCCTGAAGGGCAGTCTAGGCAGCAATGGATCCCATTCCTCAGACTTTCATAGAGGACTGTTCTCTCTGAATCCTACTTTAAGGTCTCCCTTAAAAAGCAAAACCTGAGCTTACCTTGTCAGCAAATGAAAAGGGGTTGCAATACTAAACTTTTATGTATTCCTTTTGAATGTTTCCTTCACCTTCTAAAACACAGAGCAAGTTTGATTTTGACTCTGTACTTTGAACAGGAATATGCAAGTACAGCAGTGCATTTATGTCCGGAACACAACAGCAGTAGTTCTTCAGAGAAGCTGACTGAAGGCCAATGAATCTGGATCATATTTATTGCTAAGACATCATGTTATTATCTACTTCTGTGAAGCTAGTTTCCTCCTGTTCTGCCTTCAGAAGACCACATTTCAACCCAGCACTGTTTTTAACTTGTCATTTATGTTGCTTTTTATATTTATGAACTCCCTCATTATCAGTTCTTTTCACTAAAGTGCCATTAACCACTGATTTGGTAGCAACTTGAGTTTTCTGAAGAGATGTTATATTCAGTTTAGATTACATCTACACATCATTGCTCCAAGGAAAATGTAAGAAAATGAATTAAACCCTTTTATTCTCCCTCAAAAGCATGATTTTATTTTCTGTAATACAATCATGGCCCTTCATATAGCAGAGTAGAATGTGCAGTGTTAAACTTTAAATTCCAAAAATCAAATCTAAATTTGGACATAAGAGTAAGATACTGTTCAACAGCTTCACTCCTGTCTTTCTATACTCAGATATCCAATTCATGAGGATAATGTCTGCATTTCATCAGGTTTTTCGAAATGTTATGTTCTCCTGATCTGTCTGGCTCCATATTCCAAACAGCTCAGAAACTCAGTCTTAACAAGTTCCAAGGAAATATAGACAAAGAATTTAAAATTTAAGCTCCTTCCTTGTAAAAGATTAACTGAAACAGGCAACACAGAGCAAAGAAGAGGCAACACAGAGCAAAGTGAGAAGCAGAGACTTCAAACATATATGCCAGTAGACAAAGTCTAAAAGGCTCAACTTGAGCATACGAATGTTTCCCACCCCCCCGCCCCCCCCAAAAAAAAAGAAAAAAGAAGCAGGCAACTGGCATCTGTGTAGAAACCTTACAGGAAACTGAAATAACTCATTCTCAGTGTTAATGAAGACACTGAATATCTAGTACACTAAGGCTTAGAAATGTAACAGTCAGCAAAAGTAATAACCAGCAAAAGTTCAGTTCCTCCCAGGCAACTATACTTTGAGTTAATTCTTACTCCACTACCCTAGAAGAAATAATATGCTGTGGATTCAGAAGGCTGGAAAAGGATGAGCTGCAAGCTGATATTGCATTCAAAACAACCACTGAAATCATCTACTGTGTACCTAAGTGGAGAAAGTGCTGCACTTCATAAAAGCCCTGATCCAGAAACCATTGAAGGCACCTGGCATTCTTCCAGCTACTTTAACACACTTTGGAGTGGACACAGTGACTTATTAACAGCTTTGAACTGGATACTGGAGTCCACAAGAATCAATTTCAAATATCATTTAATAGAGCTTATGAAATTAATATTAAGAGGCATCATTCTCTCTGATGTAAGGTTTTCAACAGAGATCAGACCCATGAGAGAAGACTATAATAAATCAAGACATTTATAAACTATATATCTATTTGTATGTGCCCAGCATATAGGAAAATGAAGGACAAGTATTTGACAGTAGTATGTTCTTTTAGGAAAAAATAAAAAAATCAAACTCTTCTCTCTCCCCCAAAGGAAAACACTTAGAAGAAGTTAACACAGAATAACATCAGAGAGAAAAACTTGTTTCTTATATTTAAATAAAAATATAATCAAGGAAAAAAATAAGTCTAGCAGATTGTTTTTTTCCTAAACTGAATCTGCACTCCAGAAGATAATATTTAAGTGCTTCACAGCAACAACACTTCACACACTCAATGCGGATTTCTCACATAGCAAAATTCCCTAACATTTGGGCTCTTGTTTTTTTTTTCCCTCTTCAAGTGAACTTTGCTGTTTATATCTGTTTATAACGAACAACACTATGTTTGCATTTTAGCTCCGGAGTACCATATGCATGCCACCCTCTATTCTCAATGTTCCCAAGGATGGAGAGAATAAGAGGTCTTACAAGGCTTATGTAGCTTTAAAAGCACTGGTTATTTTAGTGTAATTTTACTCTGCTTCTGCCTCCTCCACACATATCACTTACTCTTGCTTATCTGACGGTTTGCAAGGAAATTATAAAGACACACATCTAGTTTTGCCATTAGACCACCTCTTCCAGAGCAGCAAATTCTTGTCAGCTGTGGCAACAAGCAGGATCCAAGCATACTTCCATTAAGCTTTTAAGTAAAACAAAGAAGGCTGGGATACAAAATTATAGCTTGACAAAAGAATTGATGGGTTCTACTTAGTGATCTTAGTGATGAACAGAGACTACATCAAGACCATAGCAACAAGCACCTGTGCAAAAGGCTCCGTACTCAGTATTTCAGTAGTAGGCACTTAGCACACCAGTTTCCAAGCAAAATGCTGAAGTATATACCACAAAGGTATCTTACGACTTCATCATACATCCTACACATATCTTGTTTCAGGCTCCCAAAGAATAAGCATCAACATGAATACCGCAGAGTCCAGAGTCTCATCATAGTGTCCCAGAGTCCTTGACACAACACACAACACTCGCTCTCCCCAACTCTTCCTAGAAACCAAGATGAGGCATCTTCTCTTACCACGCTCCAGCTGAAGTGATTTGTCTTCCTACAACACTAGTACAATTACTAAACAGTACAGTAAGAGTAGTTATATATAAGACTTTAATATACAGTATTCTGCTCAACACAGAAAAACTTGAAAGTGCTGCTTACTACACAGTACACTGAGAAGTAAGAATAGCCAAAGAAACTATATGTGCATGGATACAGAATTCATCTATTTTTAGCTATCTTGGTGGAAGTGATTCACTATTAGCAGAGATACTAACTACACTCTAACAGACTTGCTTTAGGGAGTTGACTTTGCATTTCCTCAAAGTTTCTCAATTTCTCATTTTAGTAGTGCAGGAACCGAATTAAGGCTGTCTCTAGACAGCTCTAATATGAAACCTGTGACCCAACTTACAGCTTTAAGCGTAAAGGAAAAGGCCTAGGAAATACTAACAACCATAGGCCAAGGAAGCCCCCAAGGAAAATAAGATGCCAAGCTTTTGGGGGCACCAAGCCCCACTCTCATGGAAGCTTTATTTAAAGCTAACAGCTTGAGTTGCAAGCTCAACTTAAGGCTGAAACAAAGAACCTAGGTGAGTTATAGTACACAGGTATCCAGTTTCTAGACTTAAGACGATTCTCAAAGCACGTTGCTGGCATACATCTGATACATGACCAAAAGAGAAAAATACAACTGTATGATAAAAACTTTTCCCCAATTTCATATTAAAATTGTGCTTTGCTTTCATTCTTGTTCCCCTACAACCTCTGCAAAAGCCTTAATATCAGTGGGTTTTATATCAGCAAAATATCTATTATACCCTATAATTTCGTCCATAGGTTTGTAACATTGTAACAAAACATACTGCTTTTAAGAGGAATAGGTTTGAAAACACGGCTTTTTTTTTTTTTTCCTCTTTTTGAGTGTGCAATGTCATGCCAAAGCAAATGCTTTTGGTTCATACGTACCAAGTATTGGTGACTGTACTGAGCAGTACGGCATAGTTTCTTCGTTAGGAGCTTGGGTAAAAAGGCTGAGGTTTGTATAGACATCATGAGTTTTTGAGTAATCCTGAATTTGAGGGGATTCTAAAAACCCACGGATCACATTTGAAGGTCCACCTTGGTACAGTATCAGGATAAATATCGCTTGGAAGAGCAGCAGGAAGAGCAGAAAACACGGATTTTCGACACGGGACAGGGACATTGTTTTTAGACCATGCTCCGCAATCAGACTCGTGAGGAGTTTAGGCGCCCTCCACCAACTACCGCTTTACTTTGAGGGCTACGTCGGGGCGCGTCCAGGAGCTCATCCTTGCCGCGGGTTAACTTTCTGCAGCAGCAGGTGCCCCCGTCGAGGCGCGCGGGGGCCGAACCCTCCCTTGCCCCGCGCGGCGGGCGAGCGACGACCGTTAACGGTCGGCAGGGCCCGCACGGGGTGGCGGGGGAGGGAGAGCAGAGACGCGCGCGGCCAGGCGAAGGGAGGCAGCCCCGCCGGCCGCCCCGCAGGACGAGCCCGACCCTCCCCGTCCCCGCCCGCGACAAGAC